GCTGTGCTATCCTGTTCTATCTGTGAGAGGTCGGTTCTTGGTTCTGGTCTGTGCCATCTTGGCATGCGACACATGAGCACTCTACCTCGAGAGGTGTATCTGGTGGGATAGGGTGGTACCTCTGAAGGGCCCTGGATGAAGCACGGGTCACCATGCCAATCCATGGGAGGAGAGCAAGCATGCTTTGCTGCATTCATTTGAGGTCCTGCTGCGCATGGAAAGGGTGTTGGGGAGGCCAGCCCTTTGGGGGATCAATGAGTACCGGACCAGTGTTAAAGACACTCCAGCAGGACATCCAACTTGTGGTGTACACGAGGATAAAAATAGTACAGTCTGGGCTGTCCAGCCTTCCACTCACCTGGGCACAGGGGTAGGCCGTTGTGCACACCAATAGTCACTGCTACTTTCAGATGCAGCCAGGAACGTCTTGACGACGACAATCAAGAGGGATAGAGGGGGAAGGGATAGAGGGGGAACGGGAGATTCCAGTTGATGCTCATCCGTAATTATTGCATAGTTCCATTCTGCATATATCTGTGCATTTTATTTTATTTTTTATTTTGATCAGTTGAGGTGTGTACAGACTGCTGANCCATTCTGCATATATCTGTGCATTTTATTTTATTTTTTATTTTGATCAGTTGAGGTGTGTACAGACTGCTGACACCTGACAGACAGCAATAGTGTAGTACTCTAGCAGTGTAACATTTCGAGTTCTATGCATTGATGTTGTTTCAGAACTAGTCAAAGTAGAGACAGGATCATTTGCAGAAACTGTGTATTTGCTGTTTACACCGCCTGAATATTCTCTCTGAGTTTCAGACTGAATATTTATTTTATTTATTTATTTTGCATCTCGGTTAGACACCATGCTGTGGTAGGTTCCCGCGAGGACACTAGTTGAGGCGACTGCTCCTACCAGCATCTCAAGCTGTCCCATGGGGTTGATTCCCCCCCCCCCCCCCCCCCAAAAAAAAAAAAAAAAAAAAAGATTGTGAGCTGCTATAGCTGATGAGTGGAACACCTAGTGAGGAGGCTAGAGCTGACGATAGGAGACTGACACGGAGGGAAGCTCGTAGCATACCTGTCGTGTTCCAGATGCTGTTACCCAGTGATGAGAGAAGGTTGCGGGCAGAAGGTGCTGTGCAGCGTTTGGAGAGGGCCAGAGAGGTAGTAGCAGCAGCAGGGCAAGCGTTAGTGAGAGCAGCAGCATCTGCAAACACAATGGCGTCCTCTGCAGCAGCGACCTCATAGGGCCAGCAGACACAGGGCACACAGTCTGTCTCACAGTCAATCTCCAGTGGAGTGACACAGGGTCCATCCTCAAGTCAGATGGTTGGCTCGCAGTTCAGCCAGCCACCTCAACTCACTAGGGAGGATCTAGAGATCCAAGAAGCAGAGAATATCCGCCTTCGGCTAAAAGCTGAAGTCAGCGATGCAACAGACAGAGCAACGACAGCCAAAAATAGGAAAGCTAGACTGGAGAGCAGGGAGGCTGACTGGGCTACGATAGAGGGACTAGGTGAGTCCATCCTTGATGATACCACGAAAGCCTTGAAAGCCCGAGTGCCGGGCATGGACGAGTACATGGCTGTTCAGGACAGCCGGATGGATTACATCCAGTTCACTTTGGACGAGGTACTTGAAGCCGTTCGTGGTTTGGGAAGGCCAGCCCCATCCATAATAGTTGGGCCTAGTATCAGGCCGCAGCCTGTGGTCCATTCGCTGTCTATGTTACTGGCGATGGCAGGGTCCTTTGTTTCTCACTTTGGCATACCTTTATCAGGTGGACAGCTAGTTGTAGGTG